AATCCCGTTTATACATCAGGGTTTGATAGGCTGCAGATGCAGGGAGCAAAACATTCTGTCCTCATAAGAGAAAATGTCTGTTCACGCCCACCATGCCTCCGTTTGAGAGCCGTGAACTGGAGAACAAGTGGCACGAGAATGAACATGCGGTGTTTTCACTGACGGTTGGCTGATCAGCCACCCAGCACTGTCCTGTTGTTGCGTCATCTGGCCAGCAGGGAGCAGCGTTGAGCTTCACAGCAGCACATTCAGAAGGAAAGAGGACCTCAATGAGGGAGTGTGATCCTCGCGGTCCTCTCTTCGTGTGTGTGTGTGTGTGTGTGTGTGTGTGTGCTTGTGCTCAGGTGTGTAATCTCGAGGCCGTCAGGGAGAATCTTCTCAGCCTCCGTCAGCCTGCCTGTTCACGGTGCATCAATTTGACACAAATGTATTCTTCATAATCCATTTTTTCTTTTTTGCCATTTCACATTCAATCTAAATTTTCGGCAGCGTGAGCTTAACTCTAATATCATCTTCTTGTGTAGCCACCAAACTAATTTCATTCTATTTGATAATGGCAGGCGAGGTGATTGAATTTGCCGCGGATGTTATTGTGCGTTAAAGGTTGATGGCGAAAAAAAGACACTGCGTGTGATTTGAGGATGACCGTTTCCAATTGAGTCCGCGCACCAGACGGAGTTAAAAAGGCAAAGATTACACAAGTGTGTGTGTGTGCGCGCAGTGCAACGAATTCTGTTAAAGGAGCTCAGCCATGAGAATGGACATAAAAAATTCAGCTGACAAGAGGAACTTGAACACATACACACACACAGTGCAGCGGTGGAAGGTAACTCAAAGTGATGCACCAATTCAAATCCCAGTCGAGCTTTATTCCTCCACAGATGTGACTTAGTGATCTGATGGGATTTGCCAAAGCAAATTTACATCAACCCACATTTGCTCTTTTCCTCTCCTCTTTTTCTTCTTCCCGTTTCTTTCTTTTGCCTTTTCTCTCAGTTTGATTTAAGATTTATTGTTTTCTGTTAATTTGTCTAAAAAGACTAAAAGTAAAAGATCATGTCCTCGTTGTGTAACAAAGGAGAAACATTTAGATAATGACATATCTATTTTTATCTCTCCATCTCCTCTCTCTCGCTTTCTTTGTCTCTGTTGCTGCGAGGAGAAGTGTGTGTGTGTGTGTGTGTGTGTGTGTGTGTGTGTGTGTGTGTGTGATGGGGGGGGGGGGTCACCTCTAGCTTTTGTAACCGTGTATGTGTGTAGAAACAGTCAAGGCTTCAAGCTGCTGTCATTCAGTCTGCTGATGTCACAGGCTCCCACATGGACATACACACACACACACACACACACACACACACACACACACACACACACACACACACACACACACTGTAAGCAGTTGTGTCCATGAGGTGATGAGATACACACATCTGTCTCTTCTGTTTCCCTCACTCAGTTCAACTACACCGCTATGTCATTTAATTGGTTCCAGGACACACACACACACACACGCACACGCACACACAGAGAGCGTTTCGCTTCAACAGGTGTGATGTCAGCAGGAGCTCAGCATGGCACCACATGTTGCCATGGTGACCGGCGGGCGCCTAGCGACCAACAGTTGCTCACATGCTCTCGTCTTCTTTATCTTTCATTTCCTTTAGCTTTCCTTGTCTCCTCTCCTCTATTTTCCCCTCCTCATCTTTCCTCTTTCCTCCCCTGCTTCATTGTCTTTTCTCCTCCCATCTTCCTCCTTCGTCTGTGTTCTACCGCTCACCCGTCCAAGGCTCGTGTAGGAGAAGCTGGATTCAAAATGTCAGAGCAGAGAAGCAACCGATGGCAGGTCCAGGTGGAGACATCTGTCACGGGACACACACACACACACGCACATGTATGTACACACACACACACGCATGCTCGTTAACCAATGACACCAACCGTGTTGCCAATTTGGTGACATGCATGTGGTGCAGCTCCACCCCCCCCCCCCCCCCCCTTTGGACCTTTTTGTTGCATCGTTTCCTGTCGTCTGCCCAAAGAGGAACAAAACGTCCAAATAGATGCTTCAGGTGTCACTTCTTTGGGACACATTCATGAAGTAACTCCATGGCAACATTGCCTACAGTTTCAAAACTTGAAGTGATAAATCCACTTATGCGCCACCCACTGAGGTTCTAAGGAGATGTCTCTCTGCTGCTTCTTTTATGTTTCCCACCTGTGGCTTGAAACATTTCAAGTTTTCTAAATTACAGCTTTGATCGAGGAGAAATGTGCCGGAGTCTGAGTGATTGGATTCTACATTATGACACACTTAACGTCAGCGTGGACCGCATTTACCAGATCAACAAGTGCAGCGCAACCGACATCCCCGCATTCTCACACACACACACACACACACACACACACACACACACACACACTCACTCCTGCTCTTTGAATATATATACGTGAGCCGTGTGTGTTTCCGTGTATGTTGGACACCACACTGACGCACTGTGTGGGGTGTTCAGACGTCTTTCACATGTAGCCAAGTCCAGGAAGCAACACAACTGACTCTCTCACACACACACACGCACACACACACTGTTAAACTGTTGCATGCGTGATTGCCGGTGTGTGTGTGTCTGAGAGAGAGAGAGAGAGAGAGAGAGGGTGAAATTTCACTTTAATATATCAAGTAACCAAGGAGACCTGGGCCACTGATCAATATTTGATTCAGTGCCACTCGAGCAGACTGTGTGTGTGTGTGTGTTACTTTTACAACAGAGGTTGTGGCGCTGGTCCAATATGGAGAGGGAGAGAGAGAGGGAGAGAGAGAGGGAGAGAGAGGGGGAGAG